CTCCTCTCCCCTCTCTCTCTCTCTCTCTCTCTCTCTCTCTCTCTCTCTCTCTCTCTCTCTCTCTCTCTCTCTCTCTCTCTCATCTATCTCCATCTATCTATCTGTTTATCTGTTTATCTATCTATCTATCTATCTATCTATCTATCTATCTATCTATCTATCTATCTATCTATCTATCTAATCTTTCTATCTTTCTATCTTTCTATCTATCTATCTATCTATCTATCTATCTATCTATCTATCTATCTATCTATCATCTATATCATCTCTCTCTCTGTCTCAATCATTCAAATACATTTGCTCTCAGTCTTGTGGCTCAGGTGACCAGGGCTGCGTCCCAGGGGCTGACAGGGACACACACACAGCAGACCCCCCACCCACCTCCCAGCCTGAAAATCCCAGAAGGGTCAGGGAACGTCTCCCAGGCGAACCAAGTCCCCCCCCCCAGAGTCTCTCAAGCGGCAGGCACCATCCCTGGTGTTCAAACACCACCAGAAAAACCATGTACCCTTCCCTCAAGACCCCTGGCACAGCCTTCCCTCCCTCCCCTTTGCCCACCCCCTTATGCCTAGGGACCCTTTCGGGGGCTGCCCACCCCAGCCAGGCCTCCTCTCAGCACCCAGCTCTGAACTCTTGAGCTCAGGGACGTCTCCCCTGGGCGAGAGACACCCCTGGCACAGCCTGGGCAGCTGCACAGGTGAGACACCCCCCCCCCCCGCAGCAGAGGGGGAAACCCCTCCGGCTGCCCCCCTTCCCCGACCCACCTGAGCTTGCCCATCTTCTCCAGGCCCTCCGGACTGAGCCTGTCCCGGGACAGGAGGTTGCTCAGCTGCTGCTCCAGGTGCCCAGCCTCTCGCAGGGCCTTGCCCAGCTCTTGCTGCTGCTGCTGGTGGTGGTGGTGGTGCTTCTGCTGCTCTGCCTCGGGGCCGGGGGGGTCAGCTGGGAGGGCACCGCCGGCCCCCCCACTGCCACAAGGCTCGGCCTGCTTGGGGTAGCCGGCGGGATAATAGGCGGCAGGGTACACCTCGCTGCCAGGGCCCACCGGGTAGGGCAGGGGGTATCCCGCGTAAGGGTACGGGGCCCCTCCGTAGTAATAGGGGTTGTCCGAGTTCTGGAACCGGTAGTAGGGGGCCTGGGCCTGGCGGGGCTCCCCTCGAGGCACGGGGGCCCCCTCGTCGTCCGTGTCCAAGAAGTGCAGCTGGGTCCCCGGGCTCTTCAGCGCCGGCTTCTGCTCCGGGTTGTTGGGGTCCCAGAGCCGACGGGACGTGCCCCCCCGGCTCC